AACTTCAGAATGTTCGCGCCTTTCGCAGATTTGTATAACTAAACGTATAACATGTTCCTCTAATAGAATTGTAGTACTTCGCGGCACTTACAGTCACTGGTGATAGTTGTGAGCCCGCTTCTACGGTGTGGCTAAAGATAGATTTTGCTTTGCTTACTACTGAGATTTTTTTGAACTGCAAACGCCGTCATTTTATGTATTTGTATTGACTTGCAAGAAGTGTTCAAATCCTACTAAAACAAAGTCATACTCGTTGGTTTTCTCCTTCGATTCTGCTTTGGAAAAAAATTTCGCCCATAATATGGAAAAGCATGACGTGGTCTCTGAATTAAATTATTTAATGAAGTGCGTGATAAAATTACCGTGAAATCGCACGATACCATAGCGCTCGAGAAATCCCGGGTTCGAAAAGCCGGATATCGGCTCTTGGCTGGCGTTTCCCGGGTCTTTTTTGGGATTTGGACGTACGGAAAGACCGCTCTAAAAGTTATTACTAAATATCACATATTTCTTTCATTTCAGGGTTTAAAGATCATGTATCTAGAAGTTCAAACAGTGGAACCTTTTTCTCAAGACATCCCAGTAATGCGGTGAGCTCGGCGTAATTTGTTTTGATCTCAGGGTAGGCTCTCTTCTTGCGCTTTGCCATCTGCGAATCCCTGTTGCAGAGATGGAATCTGAATGTCATCACGGAATATTATTTCGCTTTCAGTATACTAAAACGTAGGACCCCTGGTTTTCACGATATACGACTGATGACGTAAAAACTGACCCTCGACAGCAACAACACAGAATCACGATTACTCCTGAAATCAGAAGTAACAGGATAAGTGGGACCCAGATCAATTTCCAAAAAAGATCGACTGGCATTATTCAGCAGCTGTCCAAGCCCTAAATGTATCGGATCGATCGCGTAGAAAAAGCCAATTCACAATTAGTGCAGCTTGGTTAGAAAGCAGAAAATCTCTGTGAACCGCGAGGCGCTTTTGAAAACCGAAATCAAATTTCATAAGCGACGTGCGTAACCAGATGGACCAGCCAGAAAAAAACGTAAAGTCGGACGAGCGACCCGGCGCTTTTTGGCCTTCTAGGCTTATCAGTAGCGCTTGTTCGGAATTCTGTTGCATTTAAAAATTAGTGCCAACAGCCTGACTCACCGGAGACCAGGTTTAAACCCGGATGCTGGACGATTAATCAAAGGACGGAAACGCTGGCGCATACGAGCTCACCAACAACGACAATAATAAGAGAAAACAAAAACGAAAATGACAGTAACAAGGTGGCATTTGGCATCTTCCCGGATTGCTTTGTACAAAATTTCATCGTTTGTTACGTTGTTCGGCTTATTTCTTCGACGAACGCCTTCGGACGCAGGCACGAAAAGAATCCACCGCTTGGCTGCAAGTTAGTTCCAAGCAAATTCGAGTTCTGTGCCACATGATATTTAGCAAAGCCAGTAAACGGTGTCCAAGGAATTTTCGCTTTTTTTCCTTGCTTCTTGAATTCTGTTGGCTTTTGGGCAGCTTTTGAATCCGAAGCTTCTGGTTCAAGTTCGACCGGAAAAGGCGCGAGCATTTTGGTCGCAGCAAAGTGATAAGCAATGCGGGACAAGCCTAGTCCTGTCGATAAGACTCAGGCGTCTAAAAAACCATGCACTTAACTTGAAAGCGTTACGATTTTCCAGCCGCCAAAAATTATTCGAGAACTTGTAAGCTTCCCAAAAATCTCCGCTTGCGCAGGCTAATTTTCTCAATTTTAGCCAATTTCCCGGCGGTTTCATATGGCAGTCATTTAGATTTTTTACGGAAAAGCAGTGTACGACGTATAAACGGGTAGCGACGTTTTATTAGTTTTTTTCAAAAAACAAAGCAAAAATCGTTTTTGGAGGCGCCCGCGGCAATGAGCTCCCATTCCTCTCCTGTAGCGGCTGCCGGCTACCGTACAGCAAAGGAAACTCGGCAGCCGGGACCTCGATGATGTTGAGCAACAGTACGATCCGATGTTCCCGCTGCGTCCAATACAGCCGCCAAGAAAGCCGATTTCATCACCGAGATCCTCTCCTCTGCCCCAATCGAGCTGGAAACCGGAAGCTGGTTCTGGATCTGCAAGTTCTTTCCGCTGAACTGTCGAAGTTGTCACGGGACAGAGCATCTGATCGCGCTCTCCTGCGGCCGCATTGGCTGCGAAGGCTGCCGGCGTCGCTGTTTGGAGTGTGGGTATGGGACCCGAGCGGATGTTGATGGAGAGCTGATGCGGTTCTATGAAGCGTACGCAAAGGTACGAATTTCAAGACTACTCGCCAATAATTAATGGTTAACAGGCCACTCAATAGGTTAATTTGTACAGTTTCCTAGCGAAGAGACTGCATCTACTAGCTTACGTCGACATCATTTTTATCTAGCATCGATCGGCGTTGATGAATTGCATAATCACTTTCGAAAACCCAAAATCCATTTTTCCAAAAATCATGATTTTGGAAAATCCACATTTTGAAAAATTGGCAGCTGTTTCAAATCAATAGAAAATGGCCGCAAAACGGGATGAAATCGCAGTGCAACTTTTTCGAAATTCTTATTTTTGAAAAATGAGTTTCTAAACACTTCGAAAAAGTGTATTTCCGGGACTATGTTTTTTGGAAAAATTATTGCCCGCCGTATCGTAAGCTCTTTCCCCCACGAAGAATTTTCAATAATAAATTATAGCAATTAAAGGTTAATTGAAAACTAGCTAAATTATAAAAAAAAAACAGAAAAATGTTCATAGCTTCCAAGGACATATTTTTTTTGTATGAAAATGCCCCTAGTGCGCGCGCCAAACGGGACTCTTTCTCTACGGGAAGCGTTACAATGGACCTTAGCAAATAGAATATTTTAATTAAGGTAACCACTGACCTCACACAAGCTGTCCGTCTTCGAGGTCTCGATTCCGTTCGCCGATGCTCCAATTGCCCACGTGAGGATTGGCTGGGGGAGATGGTACACTGTCAAGGATGCTCGACATCGCTATGTGGATTCTGCGCCGTGTCGCAACACGCTGAGCACGACATCGAGCCACTGTCCAGTGCTGAACTCCGGGCCAAGAAGAGCAAGACTTTGGTCCAAACCCTTCGTCAAATCCAGGATCGATGGTCTGGTTCTGAAAATGTCCCTTTGCCAAGACGAAGACGTCCTGCACTCAGGCCTAATCAAGCAGCTCGGCCTTGCAAAAGATGTAAAAGGATGGATCCGATCGAGTACGGGTTCCAATGTACGGACTGTGATGAGAGGTGCTGTGGAACTTGCACGGCCCTTCATCACCTGAAGCATACGTTTCAACCTCTCTACATTGCCGAGCTCGACGACTTAACTGCCAAAACCCGTGCCCACCTCAATGGACATCACGAGGGATTGGCTAAAAATATCTACGGAATCCATAGCATGATCCGAGATAACTTCCAAGCCGTCACCAATGCTCATCGACTTGCGTTAGCATCAGTGAGTAGGAGAGGAGACTATGCAGCTGGGGACAAAGTGAACCAAGCCGTCGTCAACGCCGCCATCAATTTCGAAAGCTACCTGGAGAAATATCTTTTTACTTCCAGACTTTACAATGAGCAATTGATAAAAATGACTGAAAAGCTTGAGGCATTGGTGTAAATGAATTATGTTCTGTTGAGTTACGCATTTATAAATCACCACAAACAATAAAACATAAACTTATTCATAGTTCATGGGTTGGCGAGTTGTCCCCTGAGGACGTGACGACATCGGAGCTCGAGTGCGCATCTGCCAGTCGTGTGCGGCGGGAAACCGGTGGAGTGAAGTTTACCGGTGACGGGGGATGCGTCGCCGGCTCAGGCTTGTTTTCTGTGCCTTTCGCACAGAAAACAATCTCCCTATAAGGCCCCAGCTCCCAGAAGCCCTCCTCGTCATTAGCTTCTTTAACGGCTCTGCGCCCGTTTGTTTCTATCCAACGTCCAGTAACTTGGTTTGGTGATATCACCCAGATTTGTCGGTCAGCGTCTTCTGTCGGAAGTGGAGCTGTTGCTAGCTCTTTTGAAAGAAGCCTGAATTGTTCACGATCGTGATCCACATCCTTTCGCAGAAATAAATATCGATGTTGAAGTCGGCGGCTTCGTTCAAGGTACATTAGCGCAAGGTTCAGGTCAGACTCACGGTCGCGCAAGATGGCGGTTCTCTCCACTAAAACTAATATATATATTAAACCGCAAAAATTATCGATCTTTGGGCATTGTTGTTTGAAATTGAAATTCAACAAGAACTACCATTCAGCAAAAAGATTTTTTTGACATTTTTTGAAAAACTTTTTTTTGTCCGGACATAGCCGGATACTAACTAACCTTCCATTTTCTTCTTGATCTCCTTCCATGCGTGATTTTCAAAAACGCGCAGAAGTCCTCCTTGTGCCTCAACGGCTTTACGCTGCCAGGTAGCGGCCACATCCTTCCAAGCATTTATTAAAGCCTTCCAAGCGGGATCGACATCCTGCGAGTTCTGCGCAACTACAACCACATCAAGCGCGGCGGTCGCAGCATCTTGCCAAGCAGCAGCTAAACGCTGCCATGTCGAGCAATTCTGCTCCGCGACAGCAGCAGCATGTCCAGCTGCGATGGCCTTGCGACCAGCGGCGGTAACAGAATTCCGAGTAACGTTGTTGGTTTGACTAGCTGGAGCGGCATGCCTCCAAGCGTTAGCCACATCGTGCCATGCTGAACCTAACCAAGCGGCAGCGAGAATGTTGGTATTCCGTGTTGGAACATCTAACTCCTGCGTTGACAGGGTAGCCTTGCGCCATTCGGCTTCTATGTTTTTTTCAGCGGCAACAACAGCTTGCCAGTCGGCAGCTATATTCGACCAAAATGGTTCTACGGCTATCCAAAGAAGCTGGTCATTCAGGTCCGCAGCCGAGGCATGCGAAGCGGCAGCAGCGTTCTGCTCGGCGGTATGCACCTTGTACGTAGCTCTCTTAGCGTCACGCATCGCCTTTTCAAGATTCTGCATCGCGGCCCGAACCTCAGGGACGACATTCTGTCCAGCGGCAGCGGCTTTCTTCAAAGCAACCAATATTGCCTGCCAACCTGATGCTATTTCGTGCCAAGCAGCAGCTACATCATGAAAAGCGCCTGCTACCGCGTTCCAGGCAGCTTCTGTATTCTGTCCAAGGATAGCCGAATTTCCTCGAACAGTAGCTGCCCCCCCTTCATCTGCAGCTTGGCGGCCGATTGGGATACTGAAAATTAGGTTTAGGTTATACGTAGGTAGCCATCATAGTGTCTTTTCAATGCCTAAGGATGGTTCATGGTTATTGGGGGACACTGACCAAAAATACGTGCTGTATTTTTCTCCGGCAGGCGGTAGGCAACTTTGATGAACCCATCTCTTAAATCGATCCCAACGGCTTACACAGGAAACGGAAGGAACTGAAAGGTGCGTAAAAATTTATTTATATATTGCAGATTGACTCAAACCCTATCTATTTTACGAAAAACATACAAACCATCATCCACATCATCGGAAGGATTCTAGACAAGAATAGGATGTAAACATAAAATATGCCTACCGAAATATTAATAGATGTGTGAGAGGCGGCGGTAGGAACGGCTTATTTTCATATTCTACCATTTTCTTGTACCACACACACCGCCAATGCTCCGCTCGGGTGACTTTTTCAAATTCAGTGCTAAAATCCAGAAAAATTTAACGGTAGCGCACAGAAATTTTGGATAACGATAACCTTAGCACAGCATTAAAATGTTGATCATGACCACTGAAGCTGTCAGTGTGTATGCAAACATAATCGCCGGCATAAGCCATCCCTGTGTAGCGCACTAAATTTTCTTTCCTATTTCACCCGCCAAAACAAACCTGCCAATCCTCGTATGTGTAGGCCATTGTGTTGTTCGGTAGCATGCAATGATTACCTTTAATGAACGTTCTATAGCTGAATTTCTAGTTACCATTCTTGTGCACATCTTCCAGTTCGCCAAATATCTCCCAAGCCCCATTCCTAAAAAGTAACGTTGTATCACTAAAATATTACTTGAAGAATTGAAAGAAGAAGCTTTCGGTTGGCTCTGCGCCCATCAGGATATACTAAAATAGGATGTTTACATCAAACATGTTAGTCCAAATGGAAGCACGCGGCAATACATAAAAAAATAATAAGCTCGGTTTCCTGACTAATTTGATGTTCAGGTGCTGCTTTGAAGTTCTGCTGCTGCTGTGAGGTTTTGGATTGGCGCATTTTTTCGTGCTCAAGCTATAGGGGGGCGGCTTTTTTTAGGCGGTTTGTCAACTCACTATTGCAAAATTAGCGTTGCAACGGCGCTTGAAAGCCATATGGTTACCGGATTCGAATCACCAAACTGTCCAACGTATTCTGTTCAAGCATTCTTGGGGCGTCCGGTCACTACCCCAAAAAGTCACTACCCCGCACTAAGTTGCATAACTTTCATAGGAAATTCTAGTGGAAACTGGCATTTGCCGGGACACAAGCTGTCATTTCTCGGGGTAAACGATCTCGGGATAATGGCTTGCGATGTTAGCGACTTTCGGGGTAATCACTGCACTCCATTTTTTTTGGCTGTCGCGCCGGCTCTGAAAACCGGAGTCTGTGGCAAAAATGGTTTGCATATTAAAAAGGATTAGAGCTTCAGCATCGATCTACAGGGTGTCCCAATAAAAAAGGTCACGCTGGCATTTTGCTATTTCAAATCCGATCGACTTGAAATTTTGCACAGAGGTGCGGAAGGGAATTCAAAACGTTCACAGAAACTTTCACCCCGATCGGTACAGTAGTTTTCGAGTAATAGCAAAAATAAACTTTATTTTACGTTTTTCACCTGGATTCCGCCGGAATTGAGCCCTGGAATGTATGGAGAAAATGAAAGCCCGACCCTTTTTTATGCTAAGAAATTTTTGATTTCGTAAAATTCGGCTTGGAAATAGGCTATTTAAGTCACTTTAACAAGGTTTTTGCAACCCCAATGTTTAGAAGGATGCGGGATTTAGCGCCGGAAATTTATGTTAATTTATGCAAGGTCCAAAAAGATAGCCGAAAAAATGGTGGGAAAGTGTGGGAAAAACAGTATTTTTACAATAACTCGAAAACTACTGTACCGATCGGGCTGAAAGTTTCTGTGAACATTTTAAATTCCCTTCCGCACATCTGTGCAAAATTTCAAGTCGGTCGGATTTGAAATAGAAAAATGCCAGCGTGACCTTTTTTATTGGGACACCCTGTATATGTGAAGTCATCATTATATCGAACTTTCGATTCCCTTACTAGGGAATGTTTCCGGGCGGACATCGGACCCAGATATGTGAGTGTGTGCATCTTGTAGAACTCGATACATGGAGATACCTTCAAAGGCCCTCCCCACGCCCCAACCATCGTGTCCTGGAAGCCTAGTGGCTTGGTAGTCGGCGTTTGGAGATAGTAACGAAGGTACGGATCCGCTCACGATTTTTATTTTTTGCTTTTTGACTGAAAGCTTCCTTTTTGCACCCCCGAAGGTCTACTATAACTTTTTTTAAAGTTTTTTTTTGTGTTTTCAGGACTTATACAAAAATTGGTGACGGTATTTAGTGGTTTTTTATTTGCAAGCACAGCCAATGTTGATGACTTCAGCTCGAAAAATCTCTGTGTTCCCTTTATGCATGTTTGTTGGGAATATGTTTCTGGAGATCTTCCTAGAGATCAAACATTTTTAAAAAATTCTTGTAGACCTTCGGGGTGCAAAAAGGAAGCTTTCGGCCAAAAAGCAAAAATAAAAATCGTGAGCGGATCCGTACCCTCGTTACTATCTAAACGCCGACAACCAAGCCACTAGGCTACCAGGACACGATGGTTGGTGGGGAGGGCCGATGAAGGTAGCGCCGAAAACTTTAAACCGTTGTAACCTTGTTAAAATAAGGTATCAGCAGCTAAAAGTTACCCAATCGATTCGTCTCGTCGAGCTCTACAAGATGCATATACTCACATATCTGGGTCCCAAGTCCGCCCGAAAACATTCCCTAGTAAGGGGCCCGGTCTGCCTCGGTCCCTTCATTAACCTTCACCCAACGAATACGATCTGGTAAGGTCAGAGCAGCATATAAATTTATATAGCCTTGCGACCAACCTGGGAAACTGCATAAGTTAACCAGAGGGTGATCAGAATTCCAGCAACGTAGAAAAGCATCCGTACCTTAATATCAAACTATGAGACTACACTTGTTTGATACCGTGTTTTTGATCGAGAAGATGATGGTACTAAATGTCGGGAAAAGACTAAAGGTTCGAAGGAACAGCATGCAAGAAAGGATAAAGATACAAAAAAACAGGACGTCGCTAAGCATGCGTAATCTAAAAATGCAGGGTTTCCCAAAAAAATACCCCGTCAAGCCTTTTACAACTACAGAAACGAACAAAGAACGGCTTCAAACTCACACATTCTGCGCGAATTCCATCTTTGAAAACGATGCTACGGTACTGCAAAAAAAAGAAATATCAATAACGGAATCCTTGCAATTTACCTCTTTGTGATTGGCTCTGTGTGATTTGATGTTTGTGATCTTTCTGACTGTATAAATTTTCGTACATCTGTACATGTGTACACTGTACAGATGTACGAAACTTCAAAATTCACAAACTTTGAGGGCCTTCCCGTGTATAAATGTCCTAATTCTTCGTCACTTGGGGTAATCGACCCTCCTCTTGCCGATTAAATATTCAGATTCCTTTAGAATCCCGATAAAATACAAATTTACCAAGTTAAAGCCGGTTCTATTCATTTTTGGGGTTCATTTGCATAATGTGAAAAGCTAGAAATTTCCTAGCGCACGCGCGCGTGCGGGAGGGCGGGGGTCCGCAGGACCCGAGCTATCGGAAAGTCAAATTTCTCATACAAAGACAGCATTCCAGCGCCCAAGACCCGCGAAGCGGGTTTTGGGCGCTAGTTAAAAATGGTTTTGTCACATTTCCACCAATGTAAAAAGGAAAATGTTCTTACTTGTTGGTGCTCACTGGGTGCCATAGGAAAGCTTCGCCCGTTCTAAAAACCGTACTTTGTTACGAAAATTGTACATGTGTACAGGGACGTAGCGTGGGGTGGGCCCCCTGGGCCCGGTGTCCCGAAATCGGCCGGGGCTCAAAATTTCATAAGGGGGACCCTTATGATTTTTCTTTATCTCGAAAAAAATCTTGTTACTGGTGGCGCCTCTATTTTTCTTTCACGTTTGTACTGCTATTTATAGAGCTATGTAGTCTTTTTCCAAAATTTTCTGCCTGCGGCGCTGTTTTTCGTTAACTTTTTGGATTTTTCGGAAAAAAATTCTCGGGCCCCGAAATTTTTTCCGGCTACGCCCCTGCATGTGCCAATGGAAAAACTTTTTGCGTTATTGCAGACCCCTTGGTGAATTAGGGCCGACTTTCAAACAGTACTTCGCCAATTCTTTTTGGCACCTGATTCCGAATTTATGTCCAAAAATTGGGAACTATCTTGAGGCGCGAGTTCAATCCCAGCCCCCTCTCAGAAGCCGAATTTGTTCTTGCTCCTTTTTGCAATCGATTCAGCAATTCGAAATTTTGTATCTTCGGGGGCCATTTTTTGACACGTTTTTGGCGTGTAACACGTTGTAGCAAAAGAAGGAGAGCTGGTTTCCGGGTAAACGACACATGTATCGGCGTAAAAAATATGGCGCAAATTTCTACGTTATTTGCATGGAGCGCAAAAAGGCCGTTTTGTATGGATTTCGGTAAAACCATTTCGAGCACATGGTCTGACCAGGTTCCGGTCATTTTCGTGTTGGGCCGCATTAGAGAAAAACGGTATTAGCGTCCAAAATTAAGCATACACATCAATTGCAGCAAATTCCGTGAAGTGACTTTCGAGATAATTTTTTGACATCGGCAAGTTTAACGGCCAATTTTACCGACCCCGAAATTTAAATTTTGAAATGCTCATAATGATGCCACCCTACTAATACGGCCATTGCCTTCCAGATGGCGTCCAAAGCAG